CTTACTGCTCCTCTCTCCCTTTCCATGGGCTGGCGCTGGCGTCGGCGGCGGCTGGCGGTGGCGGCGGGGAGCATCGATGAAGACGACGACTTCCTTTTCTGGGCCGGCGGCGGCGCCTGCGGCGGCTGGCGGCGGCGGCGGGGAGCGTCGACGAGGACGACGGCGACGACGATGACGACGACGCTTCGCCACCGCGCCTTGGTTTTGGGTCAGAGTCCTTCTGGATGCCTCTTGGGGTCTCGTCGGAGGGCTCTCGGGGGCCTTTGACAAGCATTTGTGAAGCTTCCTGGACGTCTCTTGGGCGCCTCTTGGGGCCTCTTTGAGGTGGTGGTGGTGGTGGGCTGTGGTGGTAGTGGTTGTGACGGTGGTGGTGCTGGTGGTGGTGGTGTGGTGGTTGGCGGTCGTGGTGGTGGTGGTGGTTGTTGTAGTGGTGGTGGTGGCAGGTTGTGGTGGTGGTGGTGGTGGTGGTGATGGTGGTGGGGGTGGTGGTGTGGTGGAAGCTGGTGGTGGTGGTGGTTTCTGGTGGTGGTGGTGGTGTGTTGTGTTGGTGGTGGTCGTGGTGGTGTAGTGGTTTGTCATGGTGGTTGTGGTGGTGATAGTGGTTGTTGCGGTGGTGGGTTGTCGTGGTGGTGGTGGCGGTTGTGGCGGTTGTGGTGGTGGTAGTGTGGTGGTTTGTTGTTGTGGTGGTGGTGGTGATGGTTGGTCGTGGAGGTGGTGGTGGTGGTGGTGGCTGTGGTGGTGGTGGTTGTGGTGCTAGTAGTTTGTGGTGGTGGTGGTGTTGGTGGTGGTGGTCGATTGTTCTGTTTGTGATGTGGTGGTTGTGGCGGTGGCGGTGGTGGTGATGGTGCTGGTGTGGTGGTTTGCGGTGGTGGTGGTGGTGGTTGTGGTGATTGCGTGGTGGTTTGTGGTGGTGGTGGTGGTGGTGTGGTGGTTTGTGGTGGTGGTGGTGGGTTAGGCTGCTGGTAGTGGTGGTGGTGGTGGTTGTGGCGGTGGTGGTGGTGGTGGTGTGGTAGATTGGTGGTGGTGGGTTGTTGTGGAGGTGGTGGTTGTGGCTGTGGTGGTGGTGGTTTTGTTGTGGTTTGTGTTGGTGGTGGTGGTGGTGGGTTGTAGTGGTGGTGGTGGTGGTGGTGGTGGTAGTTGTGGTGGCGGTGGTGGTGGTGGTGGCGTAGTGGTTTGTGGTGGTGGGGGTGGTGGTGGTGTTGGTGGTGGGCTGTGGTGTTGGTGGTGGTGGTGCTGCTGCTGATGGTGGTGCTGGTGGTGGTGGTGGGTGTTGGGTGGTGGTGGTGGTGGTGATGGTGGTTGTGGTGGTAGCGGTGGTGTTGTGGTTTGTGGTGGTGGTGGTGGTTGTGGGTTTGTGGTGGTGGTGGCGGTGGTGGTGATGGTGGCGGTGGTGTGGTGGTTTGTGGTGGTGGTGGTGGTGGTGGTTGTAGTGGGTTGTGGTGGGTTGTGGTGGGTTGTGGTGCTGGTGGTGGCGTTTTTGGTGCAACGTGTTTTGGCTTTTGGTCAAAGTTCTAATGGATGCCTCTTGAGGTTTTGTCAGAGGGGTGTTTGGGGCGTCTGAATGTAGAGCATTTGTGAAGCCTCCTGGACCTTCCTAAGGGCCTCACGGTGGCTTTTAGGGGGCGAGGGCTCGATATGGCGATTTGTGTTTCCCCTCTGCTGCCTCCGGGCCCTCTCTTTTTCATCGTCGCTGCGTCCCCGCCGTCGGCGTTGCTGGCCGCCGCCAGCGCCAGCGCCGGCGCCGGCGCTGGGGTGGGGGTTTGAACCCCCCCCCTTGGGCCTTCTGTGGTCATCGTCGCTGCGTCCCCGCTGTCGGCGCTGCTGCCGCCGGCGCCAGCGCCCACAGGCGCTGGTGGGAAGGGGTGTTTGGGGTTGAAACGTTGAACCCCCCCCCTGGGAGGAAGGGGGGAGGCGTGGGTTTGGGGAGGGGGGGGGAGGGGAGTCCCCTCTGGTTCTGATCGACGGCGCCGACCGAGTGTTCAGGGGGGGCCCCCCTGGTTCGAAACGCGCCGCCGAGTGTTCCCAAGGCACGTGCCCGTGAAACGCGCTCTCCCTTACAGTGGGGGACCATGACAAGAAACACCTTACGTTTCGTCAGGGTTCCTTGGCTTTCTTTGGCTGGCGTTCGGCGCGGAAGGTCGCCGCAATGTCGAAGAATCTGCAAATGCCAGGGCACCCTGGGTTTCTTGGGCGTCGGTCAGTTTCGGGGCACGCGCCCGAACTTCCAAGAAACTTCCGGGCATTTTGGGTACCTTGGGTTTCTTCGCCCGCCACTCGTGCGCAAAGTTTCCTTGCCCCCCGAACAGAAGACGTGGCCTTTCTGTTTGTGCAAGACCCGCAGCTCGCATTTTCGATCGCCTTGGGTCTCGTGATGTCAAGCTGCTTGGCGCCATCAGTCAAGAAACCGCTCGGGCCAGGGTGCACTGGGTTTCTTCGTTTGCAGCCGAAATGCAAGAAACCCAACCCTGGACCAAGAAACCTCGGCGGATTTCAGGGTTCGGTTTCTTGCGGTGGGTATCTTGTGCATCGACCCCCATTGTATCTATACGCACTAGTGCGAACACCTACATACACACATACACATACACATACACATACACATACACATACACATACACATACACATACACATACACATACACATACACATACACATACACATACACATACACATACACATACACATACACATACACATACACATACACATACACATACACATACACATACACATACACATACACATACACATACACATACACATACACATACACATACACATACACATACACATACACATACACATACACATACACATACACATACACATACACATACACATACACATACACATACACATACATACAGACATGCATACATACATGCATGCATACATACACGCATCCGCGCATGCACACATACATGCACACATACACACATACATACGTACGTGCGTACATACATACATGATACTTACACACACATATATATATATATTGAACATGTATCGGCGTTTCTGTCTTGTGTCTACGGTGTAGTATTCACCAGTTGCGCCTCGTCGAAGGCTTCTCGAGCCGCCAGGATCGCCCCAACCAGGGCCCGAGACACAACCTGCTTCCAAGCGCCAGGAACAATTATCCTGGCGAAGGCCCCAGTCATATGCAATTTGAGTGCCGCAAGGTGGGTGGGAAGACGGAGGGGGAGCTCCTTACGGGGCCACGAGACATGTGAGGGTATGAAAGCATGGGCGGAGGGGCGTATGTGGACACCGCCGGCAAGGCCTTCGGTGGAGGTCCCTGGTGGCAGGCCTCGAAACGCTATAGTGGGTGGGCGCGGACGCATGGGATCACAACCACTGGGGCCTTCCGTGGAGCTCTTTATGGGGCCAGTGAGCGCTGTACCGGGGTGCGTGGGCGCATGTGCTCACAGCCACGTGGGCCTTCGTTGGAGCTCCCTGTGGTGCCACGAAACGCTGTAGTGGGTGGCGCGGACGCATGTGATCACAGCCGCTGCGGCCTTCGGTGGGGCTCACTATGGGGCCACGAAGCGCTGTAGTCGGTGGCGCTGGCGCATTTGATCACAGCCACTGGTGCCTTCGGTGGAGGTCCCGAGGCCACGAAACGTTGTGCTAAGTTGCGCGGGCGCATGTGATCACAGCCGCTGGGCCGTCGGTGGGGCTCCCTATGGGGCCACGAAGTGCTGTCGTGGGTGACGCGGGCGCATTTGATCACAGCCACTGGTACGTTCGGTGGAGGCCCCTGTGGGGCCTCGAAATGTAGTACAGGGTGGCGCGGGCACACGTTGTCACAGCCGCTGGGGCCTTCGGTGGGGCTCCCTGTGGGGCCACGCAACGCTGTAGTGGTAGGCGTGGGCGCACGTGATCACAGCCACTGGTGCCTTTGGTGGAGCTCCCTATGGGGCCACGCAGCGCTGTAGTGGGCGGCGCGGACGCATGTGATCACAGCCACTGGGGCCTTCCGTGGAGTTCCCTGTGGGGCGCGCTGTACTGGGTGGCGCGGACGCATGTGATCACAGCCGCTGCGGCCTTCGGTGGGGCTCACTATGGGGCCACGAAGCGCTGTAGTCGGTGGCGTGGGCGCATTTGATCACAGCCACTGGGGCCGTCGGCGGAGGTCCCCGTGGGGCCACAAAGCGCTGTACTGGGTGGCGCGGGCGCGTGTGATCACAGCCACTGCGGCCTGTGATCACAGCCACTTGGGCCGTCGGTGGAGGTCCATGTGGTGCCACGAAATGCTGTACTGGGTGGCGCGAGCGCATTTGCTCACAGCCACGTGGGCCTTCGGTGGAGCATCCTGTGGGGCCATGAACGGCTGTATTGGGTGGCGCGGGCGCATGTGATCACAGCCATTGGGGCCGTCGGTGGAGCTCCCTGTGGGGCCATGAAACACTTCATTGGGTGGCGCGGGCGCATGTGATCACAGCCACTGGGGCCTCGGGTTGAGCTCCCTATGGGGCCTCGGAGAGCTGTACTGGGAGCGCTGAAATTGTTAGCATGCGGAGGGCAGGGATGGGGAGGAAAGGAACAGGTGGAACGCGGGGCGCTGTCTCTTCAAAACGAGGATCCAGCACCACAGGATGGTTTGGGAAAAAAACTTGGCTGGCGTGTTTTCATCAATCTCGATCTGTGGAGGCTGTCTGGGGACCTGGCGGTTGTCAAGCAAATCAAACAGTCGCGGACCGCGGAAATAAATCTGTCCCACGGGTCCCATGTCGCTGAAAAGATCGCGACGTTCGAGATCAGAGTCCCCCAGAATATTCCTCTGATCTCCTCATTGTTCTCGTTCTTCCCCCCCCCCCGTAGACGGCCTTTGGTGGTATGTCGTCTCCTGGTTCTCTTCCTCCTACTCCTCTGTGGCCTGCTTTCTGGATCAAGCATTTGCTTTCTCACCGGAAGCTTTGACTCACCGCGCTGTCTTTGTGAAGGGTCTCGCGTTCATTCCAGCAGCATGTACGGCAATCTCCGCCCTGCTCCCCTGAACATGGCCTTGGTTCTCGAGGGGGGGGGTGCAACGTAAAAGTAAATGCGTGTGGATTCCCCCCATCCCTTCTCCCTATGATGCTACAAAGTCTTCGCGTTTTGGATTCTTCCTGCAGGTTCCTGGGCTTCATCTGTCGACGGCTAAGGGCAGACGCCCGTCGGCGCCCGACGAGGACGCGAGCGAGTGGTCGATGACGACGCCGTTGAAGAGCAGACGCCCGTCGGTGTCGAACCAGTACGACTCGGCGAGCTACTGGGACTCGATAGCCAGCCGCAGAACCTCGGCCAACAGCGACGGCGACAGTCTCGCATCCTTCGGGCTGACGGACGACGGGGCCTCGGACTTCCAGGCGGCCGACGCCTGCGAGCCCGACGCGGCGCACCACAGCGAGCCGCCCTCGCCCTTTGACAGCATGCTGTTGAACAAGCAGCTCGCCGTGCTGCAGGACGGGGCGCTGACGCTCAGGGTGGCCCAGGCGCGGGGGACCCGCGCGGCGGACACGGCCTCGCCGTTCGACGGCCAGCCGCCGAGGACGTCGCCCGGGCTCGCCATGATGCTGCAGGGGGCCGACCGCGGCCGCGCGGCATGGCAGCGGGAGGCCGGCGCCTGCAGGCCCGCCGCGGGGGACGACCCCGAGCCCAGCTCGCCGCTCGGCAGCATGCTGCTGAGGGCCAAGCGCCGGAACTCGTTCTCCCAGGTCGGAGGCCTCGTCCTCGCCGCGTGAGGCTCGTGCCCGAGGCACGCAGAGGGCACTGGGCTTGGGCGTCGTGGCCCGGTGGTGCGCGCAGGCCCCCCCGCCTCCGTTGCCGCGCCTCGGCGGTGCGCTCGGCAGGTCGAGCTCTCTTGGGCGGGGAGGGGCGAGGGCCAGGGCGTGCCAGAGAGGGCCTCGCCGCTGCGGGGGATCGGGCGTCCCCTCCTCTGCGGAAGGCGGGCGGAAGGCGGGCGGAAGCTGGCGGAAGCGAAACGGGGGCGTCTTCGCAGGCCGAACCCCGCGGAAGGCCAGCGGAAGCCGGCGGTAGTCAAATGTTAAATGCTGCATTTTGTTTGTTTTTTCCAAACGTTGCTTGCACAGAAGGTGTCTTATGGGTTCTAGACAGGCCAGCCACAGCTGGGGGAGCTGTGGTCCTTACCCCCCTGGGGGGCCCATCGCTTTCGACAGCCCTCTCGAGAGATCGTCGAGGCGATGGGTTCCCCCCAGGGGGGCAAGGACCACAGCTGCCCCAGTGATGGCTGGCCGGCTGAAAGGACTGGGCAGGTCTGTCGCCTCAGCATCCCGTCGCCGCCCGTCGCCGCCGCGTCCGGGCGGGTCTGTCCCCCTGGCCGGCTTGTGGTCGCCCCAGGCAGTGACGAGGCGTCCTGGCGAGCCTGCAGGCTTACCATCGACTACACGTAAGAGTGACCTTTCGCGGGAGTGACCTTTGGTGCGGGCACAATGGGGTCCCCCGATCACCTATTGCAATTGCAATGCGATAGTAGCGTCTTGCGCGCCTGAGTTTGGTCCCCCCGCGGCCCCCCAAAAGCCGCGCACCAAAGGTCACTCTTACCCAGGGTCACTCTTGCGTGTAGCCGATACCATGCAATGTTATGAGAACCTTTTGTGGTCTCCACGAAATATGTTATTGGAATGTTTCTGGCCGAGGCTGTCTTGTTTTAACACATCGGGTCTATGCTCTAAGAACACTGTTTCTGTTCTCGGAACATCTTTGGTTTCTAAGAACATTCCGTGGTAGGCCTATAGAAGTGCCGGGACGGTCGGTCCCTGGTCCACCGTCGCGCCCTGTCGCGGCTCGTCGCCGACCGTCGCCGCCTCGTCGTCGCCTGTCGCTTCCGCCGCCCAGATATTCTCTTTTCTACAAGAGTAATAGGATCTCCCCCCCCCCCCCCCTCCCCCCCTCGGACTTAACAGTTCCAGTTTTCGTATCGCGATTTACACACGATTCCGCCCCATCGTCCATTCTAAACATGGGTTCGTATTATCCGAGCCAAACCGATATCGCCCCCCCCCCCCCCCCCCCCCCCCCCCCCCTCATCCTTTGCAACAAATGCAATGGGTGCGCACTCGTGTATCAAACATCATCAGTTGTCAAGAATCCCGTGCAAAAAAAAACGAAATGCACACGCGCGCGTTTTCGCGCGCATGCCGAAATCCTTCAACAGCCCTAGGTTTCGTTAGGATTTTAATATCGAGTGTCCCGCAAACACACACATATACTAATACGACCACCCTTCGGGTGATAAGGAGGTTCGGGGGGGGGAGGATGGGCAGCTCATGAGAATCAACTCAGACCCCATGGCTGGGGCGAGGTGCGCCAGGCGTGCCAGGCGCGCCACGCGCGCCAGATGCGCCAGACACCCGTGTGGCCCAAGCGTGCCGGGCACGCCTGGTGCGGCAGATGCGCCACGTGATCCACGTGCGCCAAGTGTGCCGCATGCTCCAGCCGCGCCAGGTGCGCCACGTCCGGGGCACGCGCAGAGTGTGCCAGGTGCGCCTGCGCACGTGGCAGTACACATTGGGAAACGTGTCGGGCCGCCACCACCCTTGTCGTAAACCAGTGCGCAATCGCGGCGGGGTGGCCATCATGGCGTCTGGGTTGGCCTGGACATAGCAGGCAATATGCGAGCACCCCCGTCGTCCCTGTCAAAAGCCAACGCACAGTGATCGCAGGGCGTCCGCGCATGATCCAGATGGTGTCTCGGAGTGCATGTTGTATTGCATTTTGAATGGGATGCAGGCCCCGCGCGCAGCAGGCAATATGCGGGCACCCCCGTCGTCCCAATCAAAAAACAATACTAAGTGCTCGCGTCTTGCCCCCATGACCCAAGATTTCGCCCTTAAGTAAACTTCACATTGCTTTTTGAGAGGGATGGTGGGGGGGCCCTCATTGGTTCTGGTTGGCTGCCGTTCGCCTTGGGGAGGGAGTGTTTACTAGTAGGGAACAATGATAAACCCTTCCCCGAATGTGAAGAAAGGAAGATCGAAGAAAAAACGTGCTGAACCACTCACGCCCAGAGGGCCGGTGTTATTTGGGGTCAACGGGGGAGAGGACAGAGTGGGGCAAGCGAGTCGCTGGCCTTCCATTTTTGGGCCAAGGACCTGTCCCCATGGATTTGCCAGAGGAAGGGACAGCCTCCGACAGCCCGTGCCTAGGACACACAAAAAGACAGGGCACCATGCTTCCCGAATTGCAGCGAATTCTGTGACCAGACGGCTAAAGTGGCGGTGC